TCAAACAGCAGCTGGAGGCAAGCCCCTCAGACACCGCCGATCTTCCAATCAGAGCGCCTCACTTGCTAACACACCCTCCACTGCCAAACCTCCTGAAGCTACTCCTCCGGCTCACTGAACGCGGCTCGGGATTGTTAGCTGCTTCGGAACTCCCTGCCTCGCCCGAATAAACCTTTGGATCTTGCTTTTGGAAATGCGAATCCCCGAATTCACCTTCGACCGTGACCCTCGTCTAGCAGTTTGGATTTGTCTGCCTTTCTCCTTTTGGGTAGCCTTTGGAATCGGACCCCGGATCCGCCCTCGACTACGTCTCTGCCTGACGTTTTGGGCTCGTCAGGAACCTCTCCTGACTCTGCTCCCCCAACTCCGCACAGGGTTCCTCTCTTGAACAACAAGGGGGCTCGTGACGCTCACTCACTTGCACCTCGGGCTGTTGAGCGCAACATGAGAGATGTTGGGTGAGCTGTCGGCAGCTCCGAAACGGTTCTGTGCTGGCACATACCTTCCCCTTGCAGAGAAACCCTCCAACCCGGCATGTGTGTGCAATTTCCTTGCCCGTCAATCGCTTCGCACTTCTGTTCGGGGGCGTTGTGATTTATTGCAAAGAATTCACAAGAAAAATACTCCAACGTTGTCGGGGAAGGTGGGGGTGGGGGGAGAAGAGTGCGGCTCAAAAAGGAAACCCAATGTCTTCAATATTCTGCGACTCCCCTGCCAACATCTGGAAGACGAAATTCCAAAGATTAGCGTAGAAATTCCTGCGTCTGCTGCCCAGACCCTCGGGCTTGGAAACTGGCTTTCTTGCTCTCTTTCTTCTTGGTCCTAAAGAGATCAAGAGACTACGCCCCCCCCCGTGCCCCTCGTCCCCGATATAGGAACAGCCAAACCTCAGAGCAGCCGTTTCCCAAAGGGGACAGCGCGAGCCGAGCAGAACAGGGTTACCCCTGTGAGCAGAGGACAGTTTGTCTCCCCGAGGACTTCATCAGGAGCCCAGCTCCGGCTTTCAGGGGTGTCAGGCACTCAACAAGCCAGCTCAAAAGTCACCAAGCGCAAAACAAACAGACTTCACGGGTTTGAAAGTATACGAACTGCTGGCTGTGGCCCTATCACAAAGAGCAATCAGAAGCTGATATGAACACGTCTGAGGCCTCTGCCAGCCCCTGGGTGTCAAGGATGCCTATCCCTACACAGGAAAGCAGTGCTCACTGCTGAGCACACTGGGCCTGCAAACGGCACAGACAAGGGCTCTGCATCAACAGTAACAAACAACAGAGGGAGCACATACTGATCTGGAGCCCCCCCATAGAACATTCCAAATATGCTGCATCCTGAGCACAGCAGAGCCCAATCAGTGCTGAAAACGATGATGTTCTGGTCTTTACCTGTTTACGCGGCTGGCTGTAGTGAACTTCCTTGCTAACAGGCTCCATGTGTTGTGCTGCGGTCCGCCTGGAGGTATACCACCCAGGAGCTGCTGCTCGTTAGGCCCGGGAATCTCAGGGGCTCGTGATCTCAGGAGAGACTGCCAGGGCTGTCTCAATGCTGCAGTGCCCCACGAGCTTCTATAGAGGGGGCTGTTCTGTTCCTCAAATTTGGACACATTTTTCTAAGGTTGTGGAATGTTTTACTGCTTCCTTGACCTTCCTGCTTGTCCCAGTAAAATGTATACCCATGGTAATCTTGTGCCCACATGCTCTGCCTCTAAAGAGCCCTGTCACATTGTAGCTGACTAGCTGCAAGGACAGGGCATCACCAGCACAAGAACACGGCAGAAATGACAGCAGCACATTGCTTGTCCTGCAGGGCCTGATGCTGACGAATGGGTGCAGTGGGACTCCTAGTTTTAAAAGTCATATACCTGTGAAACTCCAGTTGCACAAACATGTGACCTGCCCTCTAACTGCCAGACAAAATCAAGTTAACTTCAATGTTAGTTACAAGGAATCTTACAAGCAGCCCCTGTTATAACTGCTTTATCTTTACAGGTTGGGAAATGTGGTCTTCGGGATACGTGATTCGGGAGAGTAGGTCTCCATTTTTGTGGCGGGCCCTCTTACACACCTGCCAGGAAGTAACAGTACAGGAAACCCAGCTGCAGAGACAGCTGAAATGCGAGAGACTGGGAACTGGGAGTTTACTCTTGGCAACACAGTGACACTGGGGTGTCTTCTAGAGTTTGTATGCATTCCCTATGGGTGTTTCCTCCCACATCCCACTGATGCATCCTAGGTTAACTGGTGTTAATACACGTGTGTGTCAGTGTCCTGAGATGGACTGGTGTTGTCCTGTCTCACTCCCATCCTGCCTTGCACCCTGTCTTCAGGGATCTGCTCTGTGTTGCCATGACCCTCACCAGGAAAAGGCAGCTTTCCGATAACAGGAAAGCAGGATGGGAGGTCAATCCAGCAGGATTTCACCTGCCTCCCCAGTCTCGGTATTTGACATGATCAGCTTTTTCTCTGAATTTCTCCTTGTGCAGGGCTGGTCGGACCTGCGAATTCTCCAAGGCAAACAAACGCAGTTGCCACTGCACAGACATTTGATCTTCTGCAGGTCTCCCTGCGCTCCGCACCACACAGCTCCCTCTCAAACAGAATACAGTATCTCTACCTCAGCATTGCGAGACACAAGACCAGGTGGGGTCGAGCAGAGACCCAGTCTGAAGCAGGCAGATAATCCGAAGCAAAAGGAACAATATCCTCACAAATGCAGCAGCTTTCTGTGAACTGAAGTGATCCGGTCTGCTCTGTGAGTGTTCACATTCCATCAGAGCCTAATCTCCTTTCAATGCATATTTTCTGGAAAAAAAACACACAACCTTTAGTAGCACCTGTGCAGCTTGCTTCTCCAAAGTGATCTCCCATGTAATAATCTCTCTATCCCTTCAAGACCAGATCTGACTCTCGACCCCAACAGTTCCCTGTTCTGACCCGGTTCAGAACCCTCGTGCACTGCACGTTCCCAAGTTAAGCTTGGCCATCAAAGCCCACTTGCATTAACTTGAATTCTGAGCCTAATCAGAAGACTCAATTGTTGCCCCTTTGTGCGGGGGCTACCAAGCTCAGCCTCCACGCCACTGGTCTGAGTCTCTGCGCTCTGGGTTCTGAAATCACCCCCACCACAGCGCTGCTGCAGGACCCATGGTGCGTCTGAACACCTGGCGCGCTGGAGGGCTAAAACCCTGAGCAGAGCCCTGCCAGCAGGCTTTCAGAGAAGGAAGAAAAACGCCGTCTTAAGGCTTTTGTCAAAAAACTCTTGATTGACCCCAGCGCTGCACTCTGGTGATAAAGAGCTTAGTCAGCATGGAAGCCTTTCTCCAGGAAGGAAAAACTATCTGAATGCCTCTATGTGCCCTCTTATGTGAAACAAAAGAGCCTGAAAAAAAGAGTAAAAGCGTTCCAGCGCTCTGTTTAAGCACGCACAGTGCTTGTGTTTACCGTGTGAAGTAATCTGGTTAGAAGGGCTCTCTCTCGTCTTCGGAAAAACCCCGGCACTCTTCAGGAGATTAAATTCCACGCTCAGAGCCACTGAGTGCGGGCACGAGGAGCGAGAGGGGAGCTCTGCCCATCACACGGCCGGAGCTCTGGGGGTCACGGGGCTGGGAGGTGCTGGGAGACCACAGCTCTGTTGCGAAAGTTCACGTTGGTTTTGTTGTGGGAGGGGGGACAAACCTCTGTCCATTAGGCACGCGTGAGGAGAACTCCATGGCTTATTCCATGTCCCTATTATGAAAAAGATGAGAGACCTATAGGGAAAACCAAGCTGCTGCTGTAGTTGGTGTTGGTGGACCAGTAGGTGGCGCTGTTCCCTCTTTCCATAACAATGTCCCATTGTGGTGACTGCAGTACAACAAGAGGTGCAGTTAAAGAATCCCTGGGACTATTGATACCAGTGTCCTGGCAAAAATTAACTTCTCTACCTGATCTGCTGTGTGGTGGGGCTGCTGGTGCAGAACGGCCGCGGTGTGTCTCCCAGGTGGGGATACTGGTGCAGAATGGCTGCGCTGTGTCTCCCAGATGGGGCTGCTGGTGCAGAACGGACGCTGTGTGTCTCCCAGGTGGGGCTGCGGGTACAGAACAGACCCTGTGTGTCTCCCATGTGGGGACACTGGTGCAGAGTGGCAACTGTGTGTTTCCCAGGTGGGGACACTGGTGCAGAGTGGCCACTGTGTGTCTCCCAGGTGGGGCTGCTTGTGCAGAACAGACGCTGTGTGTCTCCCAGGTGGGGCTGCTTGTGCAGAATGGCGGCTGTGTGTCTCCCAGGTGGGGATACTGGTGCACACTGGCCGCGGTGTGTCTCCCAGGTGGGGATACTGGTGCAGAATGGCCGCTGTGTGTCTCCCATGTGGGGACACTGGTGCAGAACAGCCGCTGTGTGTCTCCCATGTGGGGACACTGGTGCAGAGTGGCAACTGTGTGTTTCCCAGGTGAGAGACGCACTGCAGCAGTATAAAGTGGTGCAATTTCCTCTTGCAGAGAAAGAGCCAGCAGGGCTCATTCTCCATAAACAGTGCTACAGAAGTGCAGGGAATGATTAGTCCTCCCAGCTCCAGGGCTGTGGGGTTCTCTGCCGCCTGACAGGACTGTTCTGATGTTTTGTCTCTGGAGCAGCGGAAAAGGAAGAGCAGCTGAACTTGGATCATCCCAACAACAGCCACATCCCCTGCAGCCCCCAGGACAAGAAGTGCATCCAGAAGCAGATCGCCAGGCAGCAGCGGGAGAAGGGCAGCAACCAGAAGACCAAAAACAACCGCGAGGACCCCAAGCCTGCCCTGGTACGGGTCACGGGTTCGAGCACAGGCCCCATTGCCGGCCGATCGAGACCGGGGGTTCCCCTGGCCCGCAAAAGCGGCCGAGCCCTGCTGAGGTTAGGGTGGGACCCGATTCCCGGCCTTCTCCTGTCTCGTCTTTCTCAGTAGAAAGAGCGCCCCCCTGTGGCCTCCTAGCCGCCTGCAGGCTCGCGGTTACGTCAGCGAAGGACGTGCCCCTCCTCCAGGGGGCGCTGAACCTTCTGCATGCAGCTGCAGAGCTGGCAGAGCATCAGAACCGGAACTGGTGGGCACAGAGACAGAGGGGCCCAGCTGGCGAGAACCAAGCAGCACACAGGAAATGACCAAAACAAATGAATTCACTAGTAACAGCTCAGCCACCTCTTGCAGGGGTAATGATCATTCAACCTAAATGAGAAGATGGGTTATAAAGCACCATATTAACTTGGATTAATAAATTAGAGAATAACCTTCAGAGATGTAGGTATTGCATGTAACTACGTGCCAGGAGAGAGGAGAGAAACTATCACTGCTGAAGGAGAATGAGCTGATTATGTAACAAAACCTGCAGGACGTTGCTGACCGAAGAACCTGACAGAAATGGTGGCGCTGTTGCTGTTGTGTCGGTATCTCGTAGGCGGTGTGAGCACAAACTCTTAACTTGCGATTGTGCCCTGCAGGCGCCGTGCCGTGCTGACCTGCAGAGGGCGCTGGAGAGGCTGGCGTCTCACACCCGGACCCACGAGGACCTGTACACCATCCCCATCCCCAACTGTGACAAGAACGGAGACTTCAACCCCAAACAGGTCTGTGCTCCTCTGTCGGGGGTCCCCCACTACGTCACTGTCCTGGACAGTGATCCTCATCTTACACCTGTAGATTCCAGAACTGGGGTGCTGTCTGTGTTGCAGCCCCACCTGGATGATGCGACGGCAGCCATAGTGCGCCAGAACACTCCCCACACACCAGCTCTCAGTGGGGAGGAGAGCAGAGTGATGAAGCCAGTTCATAGAGAGGGATTATTAGGAGGCCATGATTGGTATGGGCCAATGGGAAATATGGCCAGGACACTGGGGTTACACCCCTACTCTTTTCTCCTCGTGTCTGAGTGGGTTTCCTGCAGGAGCTCTGGTTTGCTCCCCCAGTCAAAAGACACACTGGTAGGGCAACTGGCTTCTGGGAAAACTGGCCCTGGTGTGAGTGGGTCTGTGTGTGCCCTGTGATGGACTGGCCTCCTGTCCAGGGTGCAGCCTGCCTTATACCTGTTGCTTGCTGGGATAGGCTCCAGCTGCCCTTAAGAAAATGGGTTTAAAGACACATTCACAATCTGGGACATGTTCAAATAAAATGGGTTTTTGGGTATATTCCCAAGCCTAGGAGTTAATCTGTGAGGTTGGGTCTGTATTGCTCCCGTGCAGTGCACTGACTGGACCCTGACCCAGCTGTACTCAGGGGGTGTGGGAGAATGGGGGTTTCTGCACCCCTTTTTACCTGGGGCTGCATCCAGCCTGTATTGCACCCCCACCTGCGTGAGTCGGGCCCCACTCATCTCACAGGATTAAGAGCAGGCAGGCCAGGGACCGGAGAGCCCAGAGCTGACTGTCTCTGCGCGGGCCTGTCTGCTCCACAGTGCCACCCCGCGCGCGATGGCCAGAGGGGGAAGTGCTGGTGTGTGGACCAGAAGACCGGCATCCGCCTGACCAACCCGCAGGACATGCGAGTGGACCAGAGCTGCCAGCAGCTGGCCGCCGACCCGCAGAGGAAGTGAGCCGGGCCCGGCCTGGGGCCTGAGGCCCGCGGGCCAGACTCCCCTGGCGCTGATCTGTACAGTAAAGGAAGGACTAGACCACACAACCTCACCGGACCAGCGCGGAGGAGCCGGTGTGGGGGGGAGGGGGGGGAGATCCGTTACTTTCACTTCGCGTTTCCGCGCGAGTAGGGCGTTTTCCGTGGAGACAAAGCCAGCCGTTCCCTCTTCCAGTACGATTCGTTAGTTTGCGGAAAGAAACCCAAGAGAGACCGACAATCAAAGCAGTTAACATGATGCTCTCGCAGGGGGCGTGAAAGCAAGGCCATGCAGTCTCACGCCACAGTAAGACCGTGAAACTGGGGCTTCGACGGCACCCCCAAATACCCGACCAGGGGCCGTGGGTGTTTTCTGAACTATCCGGGGATTAGGTGAGCTCTCTGGTTTCACATTCTTACTGTAACATGAAAGTAAGCGCCAGTCCAGACCATTAGGAGAGGAGCTTGGAGATGAAGTGAAGTTTTTTCACTTCGTTGCTAAAACTACAGGGGCGACAGGCGAGGAGCCCCCCTCAGCGACCTGGAGACTTGAGTTTATTTGCACATCCTGTCCAATGTTTAAGCTATTTTTTTTTATTATTATTCTGTTTTTTCTTTAAAAAAAAAAGGTTTGTTCGGTTTTTTTTTTAAATCTAGCCTCACAGATAGCAAAATGCACAGCCTGCCGGCTCTTCAGCCGCAGCCTGTAGTGCCAATAACATCAGGGGAACCAGGAGCGAAACTGGCAGGAATTATGAGCTCCAGCTTTCCAGCCCCGCTGGAAGAGAAAAGGGATCGCTTTGAAGAACTGCAGTCTAACTTCACAGGGCAGGTACTCATTCTCTCTCACTCTCCGCTCTCGTTTCCTGCCCCGCGTTTCTGCATCGCCGCCTGCGCCAGGGTCCGAGCGCCGCGCGCCTGGAGACGCGGGGGCAGTTTGCGCTCTTGCCGGCGGCCTGTGGGAAGGAAGGGTATCTGCGTGAGCGGTATCGGCGCTCTCTCGGTGCACAAAGAGCAGGGTGGGGGATCGTTTAGGGCTTTAAAAAACGAAACAAGACATCGGCCACGGCTCTTCATAGCCGTCGGCGGTCTCCAAAAAAAAAAAACTTTCCGCTTATCCCGACCCTGGCAGCTGACTCTCTGAGACAGAAAGCTTCGTATAAACAAGAGGATTGAATGGACGTGCTCTGGATTTGACTTCCAGGGGAGAGCTTGTGAAGATGAATTAAAAAAAAAATCTAGTTTTTCCTTTTCTAAAACGCACGCGCACTGGCGCGTCCGCGCGTCTCCTAATTCGCGCGAGCCCGTCCCCGGATCCGGCTCCGCTCTCGAGACCCGACACACACAGCACGGGCCGGCGCTCGGGGCCCTTCCGCAGCGCGCGCGCGGCCCGCGAAGAGAAGCTGGACTCCCCGCTCGGGGAGCGCGCGCGCGCGCGGCTCGCCCCTGTCCGGAAACTGCTCGCGCCGGTTCCAGCACCAGGGGCGTGTGCTGGAAAATCCCGATAGCCGCGCGCAGTCCCGCCGGGCCGCCGTGTTTCCTGGACACACATTCAGAAACGGCTCACTTTCCCACAGGGAGTAACAAAAGAACAAGGCCGGGACTTTGCAAAACCAACCACTACTAAGAGAAGGAAAGCTCGATGTAAAACCACTTTCCCACTCGTGTCCGCACTTTCCCTCCGAGAGCCTTCGCTCGGGACGCAGCGAGGAGAGTATTTCCTGTTTAGTCTCGGTTCTGTTATCTGAATAAAAAACTGGGGGAAAGTAGGTCGAGGTGGTTCGAGTCAAGGAAGGGATCGCATGACGAATCCCAGACGAGCCGCTGTGATAGTGATGCCAGACGAGTGCGTCTTGTTTCACTCCATTTACACGCGTAGCTTCAGTCTGTAACGACCGCGGGTTTGGGACTCAGGAAATGGGGTGGAACAACACAGTTATTAACTCGAACCGGGCAAAGGTACACACCCAGGGACAGGGGTGACAGCGCTGCACCCTCACTGACACACACGGAGGGGAAGGACTGTCCCCCACCCTCCGCCCCACTACATACAGTCCCGCAGTCCCGCCCCCGGGCGCTGTTCTCAGCGCGCCCCGCGTGGCGCTACATACCTAAACGGCGTGAGGGGGCCCAGCGCACGTGCTCAGCGCGAGCCCCTGCTGAGGGAACGAGCCGGTTTAACCCGGGTCTGCCCGGGCGCGCGAGCGGAATCAGCATGAAATCTGGGGATGGCTTCCTCTCGGCCCAGCCGGTGGATCTTCAGCGGGCTGTCGAGTGTCCGTGCTGAGACAGCGTTGCAGCATCTGACTCTCCAGGACATTATAGCAGCACGCTAATCAAAGCCTTTTAAAATTATTCAAACGGCGTGATGACACTTACATCAGCATCACAGCGTTACACAGCGTCCAGCTAACCTAACGACACGCCAGTCATTAACCCTTCGCCTCTCAAACCCAAGTTCTGTCTCCCTGAAGAGCCGCGTCGGACCCCGGACAGCACCGGGGTCACAGCTCGTCCCCCCCGGGCGCGGGGCGCGCCCTCCCCTCTTCGACACCGCGCTCTTCCGCCTGTCTGCACCAGCAAGACCCGATGCCACATGAACCCACGGAGGAGCTCCAATATCCCCTGGAAGCCCACCCCATGGTGCTGCCTGTTCCACGAGCAGAACTCACTCCGGACGCTTCTCCGTGTAAAATAACCGCTTGCCAACAGCCCGCGTTCCGCCGCGCCGCGGGCAGGGCTGTGTTCCTGACGCTGTCACATCGAGCGCGTTCCCCGCTGGGGCGAAACACAGTGGCTCATGAGATGGGAAACGAAAACCTTGTGGAAGGCACAGAGTTGTACAACATGGCGCCTAGGGTCACTGGCAGTTAAAAGCAGAAGTGCCCCCTGAGTTAGAGGGGTACAAGTGCAGCCCCAGAGTCAGGGTCCCGGGGGGTCAGGGGGTCACACTATTGCCCTAATCCACACCGGCAGGGGAGCAGGCTCAGCGCAGTACCGAGACGCTGGAATTCAAGACACTACTGTGTTGCAGGAACCGAGTAATGACGTACAGACACAAAAACCTTTACTGTTTATGAAAGACATCTTGAAAATGTACCTAGATTGCATCGGAAAAGCCAGTTAAATCACATTTAGAAAGCTACTGTAGCTAGACCTCTCCTATCTAGAAAGCGATCTAGATTCCACCTGGAAAGCTATCTGGATTACGTCTGGAAAGCTATCTAGATCGCATTGAATCTGCAAATGTTATTCACGTACTATGCTAAAAAGCAAGATCAGAATACAACCTAGCAAGAGATATATTGCGGAAGAGACAGCCGTCTTTCAGACAGAAGCCAGATTTCAAACACTATCACAACAGTAACGCTGTTGTCAATGTTTTTGTAGAAGAAGTTAGAGCTTTACCATTTTGTATAAACAAACTTGAATCTTTGTCTCAGTGTAAATCTTAATTCCGTATTTAATTTCTATTTTTTTTTATTTAAAGGTATTGCTGTTTAATGTAGGGTAAATCAGTATTTGATTAAAAAAAATAATTTGCTGAAAGACTATATTGGGAAATTATGAAATATTGTGCCTATGTAATTGGACAAAACTGTAATTGTTAGCTTTTCCGTGCCATGAGGAATGAGTGGTGTTAGGCATGTTTTTACATGATGATTTGCTTTAGTGGGTGTGGCTGTCAGTGTTACTGGCGAGGGCGCTGGGGCTGGCTGGTGAGAGCTCCTGCAGTGCTCTTCTACGGGGTCAGAGAGGAACGTTTCACACTTCATCACAGATTAAAATGCTGTCATTTTGGTTTGGCTCAGCACAAATAACCGATTGCACGGCGTGTATTTATATCCGTCTGTTAGCAGATTTAGAAAAATAAGCCCTCGAGTCATTTTGCAAAGCCAAAGAGTGGCCCACAAATTCTCTCCTGGCGTGGAACGAAGCAATTTGATTTTGTGTTCCTTCCATTGTTTAATCACAGACTCCCGTGCTGGGGGGGGAGAGGGAGCCCCACGCTGCACGTGGTTCAGAATCTGAGGCACGAGCGATCCGAGTGTGTTACTCTCGGTTACTCCCTCCTCAGAGGCGCGCAGGGAGCCTTCGGCAGGTGCCAGAGCTAAGCTGAGAGAGCGAGACAGCCAGACCAAAACACGGCTCTGACACTGAGTCTCACTTCTTAGTAAAGTGCTTCAATATCGGATCTGTGCCAAAACGAGAAAAAGCTCGACTCGGTGACATACATGTACAGTACGTTTATATAAAAAAGTGTTTTGCTTTCTGACATGTTGATGCACATTTGTTCAGTGGGGCTTTACTAACTGAGCTGATCTCTGTCTGCTGTGTGGGTGTAGCCAGCGTGCTTTGTGCCCAAAACCTGATACCAAACAGACTGGACTGTATGTAAACCCATCAACGTGTGAACCTCCACAAGAGATTAAAGACCTCCCAGCCACCTGCTTACAAACTGTCAAACACCAAGCAGAAGACACAGGCCAAAGCCAGACTGCCGCTCACAAAATTGACTTCTGCACCCCGGCGTGTTTGTGTTTCACTCCTTACTGCTGTCCAGAACATTCAGTTGTGGCAACACACGTACAAGAGGCCCTGAATAATTCCACCGTGGCAGCGCTAAGCTCTAAAAGGAAATGCATACGTGCTGCCACAATTTTCATGACCAGGGGATTGTGGGATAGGATGCCCTTCATTAGAGGATTAATGAGGTGCTGTATTCCGGAAAGGGCGAGAGGTCCTGTCTTTTTCCCAAGAAACAGCTTGTAGACCCAGTGCCGCTGTTTGTTTGACAATTCCTTTTAGTATCAGCGTAATCTTTTTTTTAAATAACAGGCTGAAAGAGAATCTTTTGTTTACTTCCTGCAAGGCCAAATAAACGGGGAACCGTACTGTAAAGATGTCGGCAGGAAGGTAACTGTGCCAGAGGCGGGCTGGATGAGACAGTCTCAGGAGAGTGGTGCTTGGGTCGAGTCCTCTCTCGGCTCGGCTCGCGGACGGCGTGATCGTGGTCCCCCTGGTGCGCGGGGAGGCTGTGGGGGACCGAGGGCCGCCTGGGGTGGGGGAGTCCCAACTGCACCGGGAGTGCCAGGACACCGGGCCCACTGTAGCCCCGTCCCCTCTGCTCCGCTGTCAGGGCAGACAGCTGCTTCTCTCGTTTTCTGTTTCACTTGAGGCTGAAGCAGAGGCCCCAGACCGGCCTGTCTGACCCTCTCCGCTCCGCATGAGGACTCTCTCCCTGGACGGCAGACCCAGCCGTGGTTCGGCACCAGCGCCCGGGTCCGGAGGCGCTCCTGGGGCTGTGTGTGTGTGAAGGCAGGACGAGCCCTGGTGGGGTGGGGTCTGGCTCTTCCCCACCTGGATGACATTGTGTATGTGCTATAAACCACCAATTGTTTTCACTTCTTAAGGATGTATTCAAGACAATTGCATAAATGTATTACATTTTATTAAAGGTATAATAGTACACCACCTCCCGCCTTGTGCACTGGTCTCTCTGGGTGCAGGCTTTGACTGGTCCAGGGTCTCTCAGGTAAACTGGCCCAGCAGCTCCCGCCAGAATTCCCGGGTCCTGAATATTCCGGCTCAAGGGCTGTGAAGACACTGCATCGCACCTTCAGAAGTTTCCAAACAATTTCATCTTTAACTGAAGGGTGGGGAGGGGGTGTCATTACTCTTTTGAATCAGTACGCGAATCGTGACACACCGTAAATGGAGAACTATTTCCTCAAGAGCTTGAAAAGTGAAGCGTCTTGTGCGCTGGCTGCAGCGGGTTACACGCAGAATGCTGTCCCATGATGCTCTCGGCTCTGCCGTCAGATCCGGCTCAATCAGTGACACTTTCAACCCGTTCCTCTCCACCGGCCAGCGCGTGACAGCTCATTAACACTGAGCGGAAGCAGGGCTCGTCAGCCAGCATCAGTGCTGATTTAGCACTTTCCAGAAGAGGTGCCGAAAATAACCTTGGTAAGAGCTGTGCCGGCTCAGGACGTAGGGGTGGGTGGAGGGCAGGGAGAGCGGTCCTGCTCCACACAGCCCCTGCGGAGAGAGCTGGATTCAGCTCACTTGGCATCTGTCCCGCGCAGGAAGACCTCTTTAACGGTAATAATTACTGAGTCATCACAGCAGGTTGGGCAGGGGACCCAGAGCAACACTCTTGTCTCCTGGCGCAGAGTTCTGGCAGAGTTTGCGCAATCTGGGCACCCCCAGGGGTCGCCCTGCTCGGTATCATCCGGGTTCGTCACTGCGGGTGCTTTAATTGGAGTCGGCGGTTAATGCCCACCTTGGCGAGGGCAGAGGAAGGGTCTCGATGCAGAGACTAACTCTGCGCAGATGGATGCAGTGCTGCTGCTCCCCCGAGCGGCTTCCTCGACTGCGCTGGTCAGCCTGATGTGCAGAGTGGGGGGCAGGTGAACCCCAATCCAGCTGCTAGGCACAGAGGTGGGCACAGCTGGGCATGAGGTGGGGGGGGGCTCACTGTACAAACCAGGCTGGAGAAGGGTTGCTCTTACGACAGTAAGGACAGAGTGGGGAGCCTCCTGGCACAGAGACAGCTCCTCACCTGATTCCAGGAGAATATTCCTGCTCCTTCTTGGTGACCTTTGACCCGAAAAGCTACCCGTTCCGCACTGTGTGAGCTGAGAATCTGAATCAAGGGATGTTGTGTTGAGAATGTATAAGGCACTAATAGGGCCCCATTTCGAAAAACTGTGTCGAATTTCGCTCACGAGGATATAGAAATTGCTGCTCTGGAATCTGTCAAGGGACGATCAGCCCGATATGGACATGGGTAGTGTGGCCCCCTCATATTTGGCTTTTGTGACTTCACTCTGTGCCACACTGGGGCCGCTACCGACCAACAGACTGACCTCTAGCCCCCCCAGGGTCCTCCCACATCCACATAAGTGTCCCCCAGATTTTCAGGCCCCATCGGAGAGTGGCCCCCATGAAGAGGGAGGGGACAGGGGGCCGCTGTGTGCTGCTCCTGCAGGTCAGGTCTGCTCTAATTTAACCTCCAGTCAATTCCAGCTGCCCCCGTCATGGGGGGTCAAGGCTATTGTAACACTGCAGGGATCATGTCTGTGGGCGGGGCGGTGGCTCTCTGGCTCAGGATCTGCGCCTGTGGCTGGAAGGTTGCCGGTTCAAATCCCGCAGCCGGCTGAGGAATCCTACTCCGCTGGGCCCCTGAGCAAGGCCCTTAACTGCTCCATGGGCGCCGTATAAATGGCTGACCCTACGCTCTGACCCCCAGCTTCTCTCACTGTCTGTGTGTCTCATGGAAAGCAAGCTGGTGTATGCGAAAAGACAAATTCCTAATGCAAGAAATTGTATAGGGCCAATAAAGTGATCTGATCTGAAGCGTTTCTCTCAGGTGTGCTGCACTGGTCGCAGATCTTTCCATGTACAACGTGAGAGAAGAAAAGCATAAACCCCAAGTTAAAAAAGCAGACCTGGATCGCAGGAAGCGAAGACAGTTCTCCAGGCTGAAGGCTGCACAACCTCCCATGGATTTTACAAACCTCTCCGAGGCTTCGCTGGTCTTCCCAAAATCCCAGCCCCCCCGGGCCAGCTGATCCCGGGAATCCCCACATCTCTGTGGCGCTGCCACTCGAATCCAGCACCAGCTCCGGGTTTTGCCCAGGACGCTCTCCGGTCTCCCAGCAGCCCAGAGTTCACACGGTCTGCCAGCAGGAGGGCCGTCGGCGTTGTTTTCCTGGCCAGAACACGGAGGGCCTCTCCGAGCAAAATCGGCCCAACTTTAAGAAAACGTGTCAATTTTAATAATAGCATTTGGTTTCCATTTTCCAAGCCATTAAATGTTAGACAGCGCAAGTAAAGCCTCCGAAGTATGTTTTCATAAAGTCTGCTGCCCTTTAGCTGTGAAACCATTAAAACTATTCAAACGAAGAATGTGCACAAGTATGTGAGGCATCCCAGCTCTAACAACAGCACCAGGGCTCCAGGGGCCAGAGCTTTTCTTATAAGCCTGTTTGTGAGAGTGGAGGGACTGTACTCTACCGCTGTGTTTTCTGACCTGCTGGTCTGTGGATTGGGCTGTGCCGGCATTTGAGAGGGAGATGCTGAAGCGCTCCCCCGTTTTCATCCCGAGAAAGAAGAGCGTCCCCTTTGTTCTGCTCCCGGGAGCTCCGAGAGATAGTGTGCACTCCAGAAAGGGATGCTTGTCGTTCACAGTGAAGCTGTCGGAGGTTGGCGTAGTCTGTTAATTTTCCAGCAGAAGCTGTTTCTGTACGGTAAAGTCACTGCAGTCCAGGCTGGTCTTCCCAGATGCGCAGTTTGAACAGCTAGCAGTCGGGACAGAAGATCCGTTTTTTTTTTAACACAGTAAGTAAAATGAAGAGTGAAATGCCCACACAATTTCCGACTGATTTTTTTTTAATAGTGTTTAATAATATTTTCATTTCCACGTCTATACCAACGTGTTCTCCTGTTAGATTGGCCCCATTAAACTCTGATAGTTGATTCCAGAAAAAGGGGAGCAGATATTTGCTCTGGAGAACACAGATCGGAAAGCAAAACCCGATCTGTTGCTTCCTCCTGTGTCTAAGAAGCACCCCCCCTGTCTCTACAGCCTTCTGCCAGTTATTGTCAGATCCCCAGCAATTTGCCTTTGATTTAAAACCTCTTAATTCTGATTCAGGAGGAGAATCACATGAAAGACTCCAGGAGCCACACACCAGAGCTCCTGAAACAGCCCTGGGCTGGGCTGGCTTAGCTCTCTCCTCACCTCTGTCAGAACTACAGAAAGATCTTTTCCCAGTTGCGCAAAAGGGAAATGAAGAATGTTATTCATAGACCTTTAACTATGAAATTTCGGCTCTCACTGAGGACTGGAGCCGTAGCCACAGGTTGTAGAACCACACATGCAACAGTTCATCAGAAGACCTGAACGAGGCAGTCAGTCTTCCTTACTTACTGCTAACGTTGTGGAAACATCTGAGTAGATTTATATTTGCAAAGTAATGGCATTTAAAGAGACAGCCCACATGGACTGAGAAATGGAAGGAAGTTTAACAAACTTACTAGGATTCTTTGAACAAGCAACAAGGACAGTTGATATCAATTAGAGCGTATGACATCATATACTTAGAATTCAGGAATGTTTTTGATAAAGTCCCTCATAAAAGATTAATTTCCCAAATTAAAAGCTGTAGAAATCCAGGGTTATGGATGCACATGGTTTGAAAACTGGTTAGAGAACAGAAAGCTGCATTTTGTCTCAAAGGGGGAGAATCTCTAATAGGCAGATATGTAAGCAGTGGTGTCTGATTGGTCAGATATAAGCAGTGGTGTGCCTGATTGGTCAGATATATGCAGTGGTGTGTCTGATTGGTCAGATGTAAGCAGTGGTGTGTCTGATTGGTCAGATGTAAGCAGTGGTGTGCCACAGGGATTCATTTAGGGCTGTTCATCCTGATGCATACCAACTTTTTAAATTCTGATAAAGTAAGCAAGTTAGTTAAGTCTGCATATGATGAAAAGGGTTTTGTAATGGAGCAAACAAATTATCGTGTATGCAGAAGAAAGTGTGGATTTTAAGTCTTGGGAAGTGATGTTCAAGCTTTTCTATTCACTAATAAAACCTCATTTAGAATATTGTGTTCAGTTTTGATCACCTTACCACAAAGGATATCTTAGGAACATCAGGGGCGGAGCAGTGGCACTTTGGCTCAGGATCTGTGCCTGGGGCTGGAAGGTTGCCGGTTCAACTCCTGCAGCCCGCAGAGGAATTTCTATTCCGATGTGAAAAGAAATTCCTAATGCAAGAAATTGTATATGGCCAATAAAGGTGTCTTTGAAAAGCCAAACAAGCTCAGAAACTACCACAGAATTCTAGCTCAGAACCATTTATATAAAACAGAATGAACAATCAGGTGCAACTTCTGCAACAACTTGTCATTTCAGTTTACAACGATCCTATTGGGATTTTGTTATAATACACCCCACCCCAAGCACACCCCTCTTGGCGCCCTCAGAAATGTTTTTCACTCTGCTGCTCAGTGCACACACCCCTGTCTGACCAGAGGCCCCTGGGCCTTCGCCACACCCCAGGGTGGAAATCAGAGACAGAGCAAGTCGGGGTGCCACTGAGAGAACGAGATCAGTTGGAACCGTGCATGAAAGTGATTATTTTCCAAGCGCTGAGGCCAGCTGCTGCCAGAGGGGAACGAGTTTCCAGCACAGCCAGCACACAGAGTGAAGTTAGCAGTGTGGTAATGATAGATGCTCGCTGGCCTAACTCTGCTTTCTTTAGAAATCCTCAGTTCGGCCAAGGTTCAAAAAATCAAAACACTTTCTGAGCACGAATTCTAAGCGCGCGGAACAGACCGCTCTATCCCCACCCCTCCTGGATGCCCCGGTTTTTGGTGACTTTTATCGCGGACAGCTCCACGCATTCGGCTTCCCTGTGGACAAGCAGGATGTTCAGGAAAAGTGGCTCTGCTGTTGTGTTT